GCAAAAGTGGTAGACTCGCCAACTTTAAGGGCATTTAAATGGTCATTGGATAAACATATGGATGATAATGGAATAGTTTAGGTTAGATGGGCTGCAGATTGGTTTCACAGGTCGGCGCAACATTGAGGGCCAAAGGGCCTGTACTGCGCTGTAATGTTCTATGTTCTAGAACATTTAAGTAAGCTTTAAGTGACTTGTATTCAAGTCAGCAGACAGAGATGTGATCCAAGTAGTTCCAATCCATTCTTTATACTCAAGGATAACAAACCATTTCATAATAAACCAGAAACTTATAGTAGATCATGTAACAAACTCATCTACATTGGGGAAACAAGCCACAGCCTACAGTCAGGGGGAAACCATGGAACACTAAAAACATGATATCATCCCCCTCAAACAGCAGCCTTCACAGAGGTATCTGGCTACACCATCTCAATAAACATACTACCCTCTACTTTGTATAGTTGGCCAATCAGCAGCAAAAATATTAACTTGTACTGATCTATTACCAATACAGTAGCCTGACCAATCCTCCAGATGAAGGAAAGGGTATATCACCTAAAATATCAAGGTCTACCAGTTCCTAGAAGAAACTCTTAAGGTAACAACAACACCCTTTCAGAACAAAGTCTCCATTTTGTAAGCAAAATCTTCTTACTCAATGCTTTTGCCCTTTCCATGTAAACCTTCAAACAACTTTTAAATAATGTTTAGTTGCTAGGAAACTAATGCACTGGGCTATTACAGAAAAGGCTGCAATCTTCAAACAGCACCAACACGTGGCTGATGGAGCTCTTTTGTTTATTTTTATTCATAGTTGAGTCTGTTGGTGGCAATGCCAGTATTTATTGCTCATCCTTAACTGCCCTTGAGCAAATGGTGAACTATTGTGGAAGATCATAAGTAGGTCGAGGTGTAGCTCATTTAGCCCCTCGAGCCTGTTCTGCCATTCACTGATCCAACACTCCAATGTCTACTTTCCTGCCCTTTCTCTTTCTATTCCCACAGTGCTGTTAGGCAAGGAATTCCAAGATTTTGACGCAGTGACAAGGAGGTCCAGTATTAAAGGGGAATCATGCCTGACAAACTTGGCTGAATTTTTTGAAGAGATGACCAAGTGTGTACAGAATGCTTTTGAGGCAATCTACTTGGACACCAGCAAGGCTTTTGAAAAGGTCCCACTTGGCAAACTGATAGCAAAGGCGAGAGACATGAGATCCAAGGAATTTGGTTGAGGGATGCTTTTCTGACTGGACGTCTGTGTCCAGTGGGATCCCACAGGGGTCAGTGTTGTGCCCCTTCTGGTTTGTGGTTTATACAAGTGATTTACACTTGAGGGATGTTAATGTGCATACTCACTCGTCCCTGAAGATACAAGGACAGGTGGATAAAGTGGTTAAGGTGGCATACAGTATAGTTGCCTTTAGTAGCAAAGGCACAGAGTTTGAGTAGGGAGGTTATGCTGGAACTCTAAAATGTTGGTTAGGCCACAGATAAGAATATTAAGTGCAGTCCACATTATAGGAGGGATGTGACAGCACTGAGGAGAGGGCACAAGAGATTTACCAAGATGTTGCCTGGGTGGAGAGTTTTAGGTACGTTGATAGATTGGACAGACTGGGGTTGTTTTCCATTTGGCAGAGGAGATTAAGGGGAACATACAAAATAGACAGGCATAGATAGGGTAATCAGGAAGAGACTTTTCATCTTGATGGAGGGATCAATGACCAGGAAGCATTGATTGAGGTAAGGGGCAGAAGGTTTTGAGGAGATGAGAGGGAAACCCTTTAACCAAGAGGGTCGTGGGAATCTAGAACTCATTGCCTGAAAGGTGGCAGAGGCTGAAACCTTCATAACATTCAAGCAGCATTTGGATGTGCACTTGTATGTCTTGACATCAGAAGGCTGTGGGCCAAATGCTAGAATACGATTAGAATATTTAAGTGGCTGGTTTTGACTGGCGAGGACATGATGGGTCGAAGGGCCTTTTCTGTGCTCTAAATAGAATATAGGACATATAGCACGAGAATGGGCCCCTCGGTCCATGATGTTGTGCCGAGAATGATGCCAAATTATATAATCCCTTCTGCCTTTTCTTGGTCCATATCCCTCCATTCCTTGCATATTCATTTAAAAGCCCCTTCAACGCCCCTATCGTGTCTTGCAGCGTGTTCCGGACACCTACCACTTGCTGTGTAAAAAAACTTGCTCCTCACATCTCCTTTGAACTTTCCCACTCTCGTCTTAAATGCATGCCTCCTAGTACAAGACATTTCAACGCTGGGAAAAAACTTTGACTTTCAATCCTATCTATGCACCTCATAATTCTATAGACTTCAATCACATCCCCCCTCAGCCTCGGCTGCTCCAGAGAAAACAACCAGATTTTTCTGGCCTCTCCTTATAGCTCATATCCCCTAATCCAGGCTGCATCCTGATAAACCTCTTCTTTTGCACTTTCTCCAAAGCCTCCACATTCTTCTTATCATGAAGAAGACCAGAATTGAACGCAGTACTCTAAAGTGCAACTGTACCATAGTCTTCGAAAGCTGCAACATGACATCCTGGATCTACACAAACCCGACCAATAAAGGCAAGCATGCCATATGCCTTCTTTAATCACCCTATCAACCTGTGTGGCTACTTTCAGGGAGCTATGGTCTTGAACCTCAAGATCCCTCTGTACATCAATGCTGTTCAGGGTCCTACCATTAACTGTGTATTTTTCCTTAGCATTTGATCTCCCAAAGGGCAGGACCTCTGGATTGCCCAGATTAAACTCCATCTGCCATTTCTCTGCCCATATCTGCAACTGATCTATATCCCACTGTATCCTTTGACAACATTTTACACTACCCACAACTCCGCTGATCTTTGTGTCAGCTGCAAACTTGCTAACTCACACATCTACGTTTTCATCCAAGTCCTTTATATATATAAAAACAGAGGTCCCAGTTTGGATCCCTGCGGAACACCACTAGTCATGGACCTTCAGCCAGAAAAATACCGTTCCATCACTACCATCTGCTTTTTATTGGCAAGCCAATTCTGAATCCACCAGTCACCGTGGATCCCATGCATCTTAACATTCCAGATGAACCTACCATGAGGAAAACCTTATGAAAATTCATGGAGATAATATCCACTGCTCTACCCTCATCGATCACCTTTGTCACATCCTCAAAACATTCAAGTCAGTAAATCATGACTTACCGCGCACAAAGCCATGCTGCCTGTCCCTAAATAGGCTGTGCTTTTTCCAAATGCATGTCAATCCTTTTCCTAAGAGTTCTCTCCAATAGATTCCCAACTACAGACCGATGAGAGACTCACCGGACTAAAAGTTTCCTGGATCATTCCAATTTCCCCTCTTGAACAGAGGAACAACATGAACTACTTGCTAGTTCTCTGGGATCTCTCCAGTGGCTAGTCAGGATTTGAAGATCTTGGTCAAGGCTCCTGCAATCGCCTCTCTTGCCCCTCTCAATAACCTGGGGTAGATACCATTGGACCCTGGGGACTTATCTAGCTTAGTGCTCTTCGAGAGACCCAAACACTACCACCTTTTTGGTCTCAAATGGTCTAGTAGATTAGCATGCTTCACACTAATCTTACTGTGGCCCCTCTTCTAGTTGGACTACCCACATACTGTTTCAAGAAACCCTCTTGGATGCATTGGCAAATTCTACCACATCTAAGAATCTTGCTCTCCTGAAATCCCAGTCAGTATTGGGGAAGTCAAAGTCATCCACTATGACAACTCTAAATAAAAACCAAAAGAACTGCAGATGCTGTAAATCAGGAATAAAAACAGAAGTTGCTGGAAAAGCTTAGCAGGTCTGGCGGCATCTGTGAAGAAAGAAATCTAAGTTAACGTTTTAGGTCCGGCGACCCTTCCTCATTGCCAGTTCTGAGGAAGGGTCACTGGACCCGAAACATTAACTCTGATTTATTTTTTTTTCCAGATGCTGCCAGGCCTGCTGAGCTTTTCCAGCAACTTCTGTTTTTGTCACTATGACAACCCTGTTGTTACCGCATCTTTCCATAATCTGCCTACATGTTTGTTCCTCAATGTCTGTCTGTTGGGGACCTGTAGCAGTGATTGAACCTTTTTATTTTGAGCTCTACCCATAGTGCCTTGGTGGATGAGCCCTCCAATATGTCATCTGACAGATGTGACATTCTTTGAGTAATGTAACTCCTCCACCTCTTACCTCCCGCTCTATCTCACCTAAAACAAAATCCTGGAACATTGAACAGCCATCCTATTTCTCACTCTCTCTCATCCAAATCTCTGTAATGGCCATATCATAGTTCCATGTACTGATCCAGGCTCTAAGCTCATCTGCCTTATCTATAATATTGCTTGTGTTGAAATAAACACGCTTCAGCTCATGAATTCCATTGTGTTCATTTACCTGTCTCTGCCTGTTCTTCCTTTCAGACTTGCTGGTCCTAATATCGATCTTCCTCTCAAATCTCCACATGCTGACCTGCTGCTCCAGTTCCCAACCTCCTACTCCAATTTAAACCCTCCCAAACAGCACTATCGAACCTCTCGGAGGATATTTGTACCACTCCCATTTAATTGCAACCTATCCCTCTTGTACAGGTCACCCATGTCCCAGAAGTGGTCTGAAATGATCCAAGAACCTGAAACCCTGCCCCTGCACTAGCTCTTAGCCACCCATTCATCTGTCCCATTTTGCTATCCCTTGCCTCACTAGCACATGGCACTGGTAGTAATCCAGACATTACTACCCTCGATGTCTTACTTTACAGCTTCTCTCCTAACTCCCTTTTCTCAGTCCACAGGACCTCATATCATTGGTACCCATGTGCACAAGGACCTCTGGCTGCTCATCCTCCCCCCTTAAGAATTTCATGCAGCTTTTCAGACGTCCTTGACCCTAACACCAGGGAGGCAACACGTTATCTTGGAGTCTTGAATGCGGCCACAGAAACACTATCTGTGCCCATAACTAGCAAGTCTCTTCCCACTATTGCTTGCTTGGACTTTGCCCGATCCTGCTCTGCAGTAGAGCCACTTGTGATGCCACAGGCCTGGCTGCCGCTGTGATATTCCTCAGAGGGGCTATGCCCCCAATAGTATCCCAAAATGGTATACCTGTTGAAGAGGGGAATAGCCACAGGAGACTGCTGCACCACCTGTCTGCCTCTCCTGGGAGTCACCTTTCTATCTGACCAAATCTGTGGTGTGACTACCTCCCCAAAAATGGTGTCTAATGCACTCTCTGCCCCCTGTACGCTCCTCAGTGTGTCCAACTGCCACTTCAACTGAAGCACACAGACTGTGAGGAGCTACAGCCAGTCACATTTTCTGCAGTGTCGTCAGGGACACTAGACTGCTCCCTCATCTCCTACATCTGGCAGAAGGAGAACACCACTACTCTAACTGCCATCTCTGCCCCTTTACACTAAAGGAAGATAAAAGAATCTTACCTTGCCTTTATCTTGCTCGCCTTTCTCTCCAAAGCCTGGTATTCACCTAAGCCCGTGCTTATACCAACCAGCAGTACTTCCATCACACAGCAACTCCTCTCAAAATATTGTGTTGGTAATTTATAATTAACTGGTTACTTAAATCATAATGCAATCTTTACAAACAGATTAAAGTACCTTCTCGGCTGCAACAAATTTTCTAACAGACTCTCTCCCTTTTTTTTGGTTTGTTATGATTATGACAACAAGGGAGCAGTGATGTAGTTCAAGTCAGAGAGATGATCATGATTCAGAATGAGGAGATTTGCTGGAGTTCTTATGTATCAGCTGCCTATGTGGTAGAGGTAGCTGATTTGGAACATGCTAATCTAAGATGTTCAGCAAGAGGTTATGGTGTTCCTTACAGATGGTTAACACTGCTGCCACTGAGCACAAATAGTTAAGGCCAGGCGCCAACTCTGACACCTCCTCCTACCGCCCCCTTGATCATGACCCCACCCCTGACCACCAAACCATCATCTCCCAAACCATCCACAACCTCATCACCTCAGGTGACCTCCCACCACAGCCTCCAAACTCATCGTTCCCCAACCCTACACCGCCTGCTTCTATCTCCTTCCCAAAATCCACAAACCTGACTGCCCTGGTCAACCCATTGTCTCTGCCTGCTCCTGCTCCGCCGAACTTATCTTGACTCCACCTACCTTGACTCTATTTTCTCCCCCTTGGTCCAGGAACTCCCGACCTACGTCCATGACAACACCTACGCTCTCCACCTCCTCCAAATCTTCCAATTCCCTGGTCCCCAACACCTCATCTTTACCATGGGCGTCCAGTCCCTATACACTTGCATTCCCCATGCAGATGGCCTAAAGGCCCTCCGCTTCTTCCTGTCCCACAGGCCCGACCAGTCCCCCTCCACTGACACCCTCATCCCCTTAGCCGAACTCGTCCTCACCCTCAGCAACTTCTCTTTCAATTCCTCCCACTTCCTACAGACAAAGGGGGTGGCTATGGGTACCTATGGGCCCAAGCTATGCCTGCCGCTTGTTAGGTTACGTCGAACATTCCCTCTTCTGTAGCTACACTGGTCCTAAACCCCACCTCTTCCTCCGTTACATTGATGACTGTATCAGCACCGCCTCGTGCTCCCACGAGGAGCTCGAACAGTTCATCCACCTCACCAACACCTTCCACCCCAACCTTACGTTCACTTGGACAATCTCTGATACATCTCTCTCCATCTCTGGCAACCACTTGGAAACTGACATCTACTTCAAGCCCACCGACTCCCACAGCTACCTAGAATACACCTCCTCCCACCCACCCTCCTGCAAAAATGCCATCCCCTATTCCCAATTCCTTCGCCTGTACCGCATCTGCTCCCAGGATGAGGCATTCCACTCCCCAACATCTCGGGATGTCCTCGTTTTTCAAGGACCGCAACTTCCACCCCCCAACCTTAGTGGTTGACAACGCCCTCGACAGTGTCTCCCGCATTTCTCGCAACTCATCCCTCACACCCCCTCCCCGCAATAACAACCAAAACAGAATCCCCCTTGTCCTCACGTACCACCCCACCAACCTCCAGATCCAACGCATCATCCTCCGACACTTCCGCCATCTGCAATCCGACCCCACCAAAGACATTTTTCCCTCCCCCACCCTTATCTACTTTCTGGAGAGACCACACTCTCCGTGACTCCTTTGTCTGCTCCACACTCCCCTCCAGTCCCACCACCCCCAGCACTTTTCTCTGCAACTGCAGGAAGTGCTACACTTGTCCATACACCTCCCCCCTCACCCCCATCCCAGGCCCCAAGAAGACTTTCCACATCTGTTCATGTGGTATACTGTTTCACTGTCCCCGTTGTGATCTCCTCTACATTGGGGAAACCAAGCGGAGGCTTGGGGACCGCTTTGCAGAACACTTACACTCGGTTCGCACCAAACAACTGCACCTCCCAGTCACGAATCATTTCGACTCCCCCTCCCACTCCTCGGACGACATGTCCATCCTGGGCCTCCTGCAGTGCCACAACGATGCCACCCAAAGGTTGCAGGAACAGCAACTCATATTCCGCTTGGGAACCCTGCAGCCCAATGGTATCAATGTGGACTTCATAAGCTTCAAAATCTCCCCTCCCACAACCGCATCCCAAAACCAGCCCAGCTTGTCCCCGCCTCTCTAACCTGTCCTTCCTCCCACCTATCCCCTCCTCCCACTTCAAGCCCCACTCCCATCTCCCACCTACTAGCCTCATCCCGCCCCCTTGACCTGTCAAGTCCTCCCTGGACTGACCTATCTCCTCCCTACCTCCCCACCTACACTCACCTTTACTGGCTCCATCCCCGCCTCTTTGACCGGTCTGTCTCCTCTCCACCTATCTTCTCCTTTATCAATCTTCTATCCGCCTCCCCCTCTCTCTCTATTTATTTCAGAATCCCCTTCCCCTCCCCCATTTCTGTAGAAGGGTCTCGACCCGAAACATCAGCTTTCCTGCTCCTTTGATGCTGCTTGGCCTGCTGTGTTCATCCAGCTCTACACCTTGTTATCTTAGTTAAGGAAACAAATGCTTCAAGTGTTGATGGTATGTGGGTTGATTTGTCCTGCATTGCTGACAGAGTTGCATTCAACCAGGTACGTGAAGAATATTCCATCACACTCCTGACTAGTGCCTTGCACAAACAGACATGCTTTGAGGTGTCAGGAGATGAGTTACGCACTGAAGAGTTCAGGTTTTGACTTGCTGTTGTAGCCATGATATTAATAATGATTAGTTAAGTTTCTGCTCAGTGGTAGTCCCCAGGATGCTGATAGCAGAGGATTCAGTGATGGTGATTCCTAGGGTGGATGGTTACATGTATTCTGGATACCTTACACTGTGTGGCACGTACATTATTTTTCCCTTATCAAGCCAAACCAGGCTGTTGCCCAGATCCTGCTTCAGAAGTATAGACTGACTCAGTATCCAGCCTTATACTGGAGGAAAAGTCCTTGGTGAAGCAGTTGAATTATCAGTTGGTAATACAACCCTCAGCAACTCATGCTTTGATGAGCTGTAGCTGAGATAATTGATCTCGAACAACTACCTTAATTAATGCCCCATAGGACTCTAACCAGTGGGAAGCTTTTCTTTGATTCCCACTGTTTTCATATATCAATTTTGCTATAGTTCCTTAATGTCACATCCAGTGAAATGCTGCTTTGATGTCAAGATAATTTACTCTCGCCTCATTTCTGGAATTCAGCTCTTTAGTCCATATTTAAACCAAACCTGTAAAAAGGGCTGCAGCAGAGTGCCCTAGTGGAATTTAAACTCAGCACTGGTTAACGAATTACTGCCACTCGACAGCATACTTTAAATGATACCAGTGACATTTTCCAATTACTTGGCTGATTAATGAAACTAGATTGATGGAATGCTAAATGACTAGATTAGAATTGTCAGCTTTTGTCTGAACAGGATTACCAAGACAATTGTCCACATGACTGAGTAGATGGCAATGTTGTGATTGTGTTAGTTCAGGTCACATTTGCTTCTCAAAATTCTGGAAATAACAAAATATTATTTATTTTTATTCATTCATGGAACGTGGGCATTGCTAGCTAAAAGCTAACACTTATTGGCCATCTCAAATTGGTCTGAAGAAAGTGGTCATGAGCTGGTAAATACCACAGTGCTGTTCAGCATTTATAGGATTCTAATGCAGTGACAACAAAAGCTTGATGATGGGAGATGGCAAAAACTGCAGATGCCAGAGTCAGAGACAACAATGTGGAGATGGAGGAACACAGCAGGCTATGGAGCAGGAAAGTTGACATTTCGGGTCAGGACCCTTCTTCAGAAATGAGGACAGGGGAGGGGAATGGAGCTGGGAAATAAATAGAGAGGAGAGGGTGGGTTTAAGAAAGGTAGGTGGAATGGTGATAGGTGAATGCAGGTAGGGAATGGTGGGGGGGGGGGAAGATGATGACATTGTTTTAAATGTTGGCTCGGAGCATTTGCTATCCTTGTCTTTCTAAGCGGTGAAGGTCACACAACGGAAGGTGCTGCCTGAGAAGCCTGGAGTTTCTATAGGACATCTAGTAGATGATATACACTACTACCACGTGGAGGAAGTGAATGTGGAAGGTGATGGAAGGGGTGCCAATCAAGTGGGGAGTTTTGTTTTTTGGGATGTTGACAAGTTTCGCGAGTGTTGTTAGAGGCAAGTGGACAGTATTCCATCAGTGCTAATTTGCACCTTGTAGATGGCGGACAGTTATTGTGGAGTTCGATAACTGAATTACTTGCTGCAGAATTCTCAAACTCAACCTGCTTTTGTAGCCACTGAATTTATCTGGCTAATCCGGTTCAATTTCTGGCCAATGGTAGTTCCCAGGATGCTGACAGTGGGGGATTCACTCACAGGAGGTGGGGATCACTGGCTGGCAAGAAATTTTAGTGTCCATCCCTATTTGCACTTGAGAAGGTGGTGGTGAGCTGTCTTTTAAACCGCTGCAGTCTGTGTGCTGTAGATAGAGTCACAATGTTGTTAGGGAACAAATTCTAGGATGCTTACCCAGTGATATATTTTCGAGTCAGGATGGTGACTGGCTTGGCAGGGAACTCGCAGGTGCTGGTGCTCCCAAGTATCTGCTGTTTTTGCCCTTCTAGATGGAATTGTTTGAGGGCTTGGAAGGTGTTGTCTAAGCATCTTTGGTGCACTGCTGCAGTGCATCTTGTAAATAGTACACACACTAATGATACTGAGCATTGGTGGTGGAAAGAGTGGATGTGGTGCTAATCAAGTGGGCTTTGTCCCAGATGATGTTGATTTATTGGTCAATGCATTGAGTATAGGAGTTGGAAGGTCATGATGCAGCTGTACAGGACATTGGTCAGGCCACTTTTGGAATACTGCATTCAATTCTGGTCTCCTTGCTATAGGTAGAATGTTTTGAAACTTGAAAGGGTTCAAAAAAGATTTACAAGGACGTTGCCAGGGTTGGAGGGTTTGTGCTATAGGGAGAAGCTGAATAGTCTGGGGCTACTTCTCTGGAGCATTGGAGGCCAAGAGGTGACCTTATAGAGGTTTATAAAACCAGGAGGAACATGGATAGGGGAGTCCAAAATTAGAGGGCAGAGGTTTAAGATATGAGGGGAAAGATTTAAAAAGGGTCCTAAGGGGCAACATTTTCATGCAGAGGTTGGTGCATGTATGGAATGGACTATCAGAGGAAGAGGTGCAGGCTGGTGCAGTTACAGCATTTAAAAGGCATCTGGATGGGGACAGGAATAGAAAGGGTTGACGGGGATATGGGCCAAATGGGACTAGATTCATTTAGGAGTTGATCAATAAGGCCTCGTAGCTAACACCATAGGCTTCAGCATTTTCACACATTTAGCACCATTGCCAACTGACACGGGTTTTCCAGTCAGCTATTCAGTGATGAAAACTGTGTTAGCTAAACAGATTGTCTGCCACTTTCTAACGCATTCCTTCCATTTGGTTAAGAGATATACAACGACGGAGAGCATGAACTAAGAACACAATAACTAGGAGCAGGAGTAGGTAATTCAGCCCCTCGGGCTGCTCTGCCATTTACTATGATCACGAGTAATCTCATCCTGACTCCGACTCCATTTTCCTTCAACCCATTACTAATAAAAAAAATCTGTCCATCTCCTCTTGAAATGTCCTTGTATCACGACACACTCGGGTAGCGAATTACACAAATTCATGATTCTTTGAGAGACGTAATTTCTCCTCATTTTTGTTTCGAATATGCTACCTTTATCCTAGAACTATGACCTCTTGTTCTAGATTGCCCCACATGAGTAAACAGCCTTTCTATACCTAATCCCTCTTAGCATCTTCTATACTTCATTTGGTCTCCTCACATTGTTGGATTGGACACATACTGCTGTAGAAAATTATGCTGGTCAGAATCTAGGAATGAATTCCCCTCTTTGCCTTTACATACCACTTTCCAATCTACATTCTGATAATTAAAATCCCAAATTATAATTCTATAATGTTTGGACCTCTCATTGTCGATTTATTATTCTGCATCCTCTTGTGAAAGTTATTGCAATATATAAATAACCAAGTTCAAAAAATCTAATGTATGATTTAATAGCATGACTATAAAGATGTTTTTCAGGGCCAGTCTGTTATAGAGGTAGAAGTTTTCAGCATGGAGGTTGTCATTTGGCTGAATGCATTCATGCATTTTATTGTCATAAAACCCAGTAAATCTTAGACAAACAGCAATGATAGGGTGGGAAAATCTAAGAACTTGCTGATTTCAATGAATATCAATTCTAGATTGTCATAGCACAGCTTGTAGTGGAGTTCTGAGTGACAAATCTGTACATGCCTGACAACCTGACTTCAAAGATCAGCTTCAGAGGTCAAATGAGAGGGAATAGAGAGTCACAAACAACCCTCATCTATTCCCCGCAACTCTGAATTTCTGTAAAATCTGGCTCACATTTAAATAATACAGTATAGACACAGCCATCGGTTCAGTGATTACTCAGAAGATTATTTAAATAACAACTTATTTTGGGGCAAGGTCACACAGTATTCATCCATTCAATGCCTGTTAAATGTGTACAATTAGGAAATTGCTGGCAAATTTTTAAAAACTAAAATGCTTTAATTTTAAAATCACAAAACTTTGCAATCTGGATACAAGCCACAATTTAGTTATTTACTTTCTATTCATATTGAAGGTATCTATAACATAAGAACATGGACTGATCAAAATATAATTACATAATTCAATAACTATTATGACCTGAAAACAACTGAAGAACATGCAAGTAACAAAGAACATGTACATTCAAACAAAGAATAAATTTTGTATGAACTCTATATATTGAATCCCATGTGTATAAATATTTCCTCAAAATGTACTTGCTCACCTGGCTTAAGATCCAGTGCTCCTAGTGACTCTGAATGTAGGAAATAGAGTGTTGGGCCAACTGTAAATAGAACGTAGTTATCATGACGTTCATCCAAGATAATAAGTACTAAATCCCCAACTTGGAAACTGCAAGAGAAAGTAACAAAAAAAAAACCAATAGTAAATTGGAATTTCACTAAACTTTTGATCAAATTCAAAACTGGTTATATTTACTTAAAAAAACGTTCGTCAAAATATAGATAACAAGGTGTAGAGCTGGATG